CCTCCTGAGCCTCCCTGGCGAACGCTGACGGCACGGCCCGGCTCCGGCTGCCTCCCAGACCCCGCGTGCCCGTCCCGCGTAACCCAGCCAGATCCTCAGTCATTCCTGAGTTCTTACGCTGAGATGGAAAGATGCCCTAACAGCCGACGGACAGGAACAGCATCAAACATCGAGTGGGCATGTAAATTTCTAAATGCCCCCTTGCTCTGAATAGTTGTGTTTAGCTCGTTTGAGTCGTGATTGGAATAGGCCCCACACATAGTAACTGGTGAACACTAGTCTTAAGTAACCTCTAGGTCCCCCTCCACTGGCCTTCCCTCTCCACCTCGGCTCCGCCTTCCATTGTTACTGAGTGAATTTTAAGCCCGAGGCCCTTCTCCCGGACGCGACAGCCGGCACTTTCCATGCCCGCAGAGCCTGGCGCTTGGGCTTGGCATCGGGAAGTGAAGGAGCACATAAAGGCCCTTGGGGTACGCTTTCATTCAGGGGGTCCCTGGTTTACTTCATAAAACAAACACACCCTTTCGCACGTGTGTCCAATGGATTCGCGGAGACGCTCGGTTACAACCCCCACATTTCAGGGAAGGAGAAGGCTGTGCTAGCTCTCAGGCCTGGTGTGCACCTGCGTCCCCTTAAGTCAGCTTTCCTCCTCCTCAGTGTAGTGGGCGAAAGTTGGTTAAAACTGGTAATACAAATAAATAATACAATGTTAGTAAATAACACAAGGATACACGTTGTGTTTCACATCCTCACAACTGTAAACCTACGTTTGCCTACCCCTGCACATTGTCTTTTTTTTTGAAATATATCTTTATTGATTTCATGGAGAGGAAGGGAAAGGGAGAGAGAGAGAAACGTCATCCTGAGTGACTTGGATTAGCCACTGTGAATCCTGGTCTATTAACATAACTGAGCATGTTAATTTAGATTACATTACCAGTAGAAGCTCTTTGGCTGCAAATACAATATGCATAAAAACAGTATAAATATTTGTTATATTTTATTTTTACTGATTTTTAGAGAGGAAGGGAGAGAGAGAAACATTGATCGGTTGCCTCCTATACATGCCCCGACCGGGGATTGAACCCACAACCTAAGTATGTGCCCTGATGGGGGATTGAGCTAGCAACCTTTTGGTGTACAGGATGACACTCCAACCAACTGAGCCACCTGGCCACAAGGCTCTTTATGTTATTTTTAATTAAACTACAGTTGACTGTTGAAGAATGTGGGGGTTAGGGACACCAACCACCCCCCAATACACAGTGAAAATCCACATATAACTTTTGACTCCCCCAAAACTCAGTTGTTCCTCAGTGTCCACTGGGGATTGGTTCTAGGATTCCTGAGGATGCTCAAGTCCCCTATATAAAATGGCATAGCCCTTCACATTTGGGGATTCCCAACTGCTGAGCAAAAACTGTACAGGTACTTATTGAAAAAATCTGTGTATAAGTGGACATGCATGATTCAAACACATGCTCAAGGTTCAACTGTGTGTGTTTATATATATACACACACATTTGTTTTTCTGGAATGAATAATAAAGCATTTGCCTTGATAATATATATTAACTACCACTTTTGACCTCATAATTCACGTTTTTATTTCTTTAGGCCAGTGAGAATTCCTTACTATCATATTCTTGTCAACAAGTCTGACAGAATTGTGATATCCTTGACCTACATTCCTGGGGAGGACATTATGGGATATGAGGTACAGCATCTTAAGTTACAAATTATTTTTTCAGTCTTATTTATTTATATTGAACTCAAATTACCTGTCAAATAAGAATACTGATAAAAGTAAGGTAAATTGCTACTACCAAAAAAAAAAAAAAAAAAAAATTTAGCATGTAACTGAATAGAATTCTAAATTTTATCAGTAATATTTAGAAACCTTATTTTAATAGTATTTCCTTTTATAAAGGAGCTTAGAATATAGTGGGTCTGTTTCAGATATCCTAATTAAAATTTTTTCTTTCAGAAAACAGAAATTATAATTTGCTGCTTTCTGGAAAGATTTTTTAAAAGGAGGTTCAGAACAAAGGAATTTTGTTAGGATTAGGTTCCGGATAGGTTTATTCTAGTAGGCTTTGTGGCATGGGTCCCCTAAGTATCTCTTTGTGAGACTCTACTGTTTGCCATGTGTCAGAAATTAAATTGCCATCAATTGTCCACAAAATTTAGTGCACAGCTGCTCTATAGAATTGTTCAACTGTCCATTTTACAGGATTTTTTTGAAGCAACATCTTTTAAAATTCCTGTAAATTCTAAAAAGTGTTTGATAAAATAAAATTTGTTTATTTTCATGTTAAGTTAAAAACCTTCATTACCAAATATGATGGAACCAGAAATATAATGAAGCCATAGCTAAGAAAAATCTGCCCACGTGATTAAATTTTTATTGTGGGAACACTTATTTTCCTTGATGTACAGCCCCAATTGGACTTTTCTACCCACTGGATAAATAAAAGCTAAGATATAATTTAACTTTTCTCAAAATCAAAATTCAACATATTTTAAACTGGTTTTCTGATAACCTTATTTTTATTTATTTTTTTGTTCTAGAAATGGTTTAATTTTTTCAAATTTATCTTTATCATTTTTATCATGGAAAGTTTTACAGATGTGTCCCCCCCCCCC